TAGCATTGAAATAACTCAGTGATTAGCTTGTGACTGGTCACAGAAATGGCTATGTTGAAGTCAAGGCCTACACATCTGAGTTATTCACAGTAACTGGGTATACAATACAATATATAATGAATACTATATAGTGAACCAATAAAAAATACTAACATATAAATTACCAAGCTACCAACAATAAGTCGTTATATATCACGTAGCATTGTGATATATAACGACTTATTGTTGGTAGCTTAGCTGATTGGAGAATATAGAGTTTATTGATAACATTGAGGTAATTTATATTTTAGTATTTTTTATTGGTTCACTATATAGTATTCATTATATATTGTATTGTATACTCAGTTACTGTGAATAGCTCAGATGTGTAGGCCCTGACTTCACCATAGCCATTTCTGTGACAAGTCACAAGCTAATCACTCAGTTATTTCAATGCTAAATTCACCTAGTTATTTCAATGCTAAATTCTCCTGTTTGATTTGTATTAGGTGCCTCGGTGAATGTATATGCTCTGACTTTAACATAGCTATTTCTGTGACCAGTTACAAGCTAATCATTCAGCTATTTCAATGCTACATTCTATGCTAATTCTTTTGTCAAGGGGTGCCTCTGCGGATGTGTATATTTTAACTTAGCTATTTCAATGCTAAATTCTATGCTAATTCCTTTGTCAAGGGGTGCCTTTGCTGATGTGTATGCTTTAACTTTAACATAGGCTTTTCTGTGACCAGTCACAAGCTAATCACTCAGCCATTTCAATGCTAAATTATATGCTAATTCCTTTGTCAAGGCGCTTTGTTTCTTCTCACACAGCTTAAAGGTCGTGATCTCAGCGTGGCTTTCTCACTCCAGCGCTGTCCTCCAGACAGTCTCGTCCCCTTCACCTGATGAAGGCCGCTTGTGTTGTGGCCGAAACGTCGTGAGAATATTATTGTGTTATTTTATTTGATCAATTTATTATTTTATTCTCATTCTACGTGACTTTACCGAAAGAACCAAAGAAGATTGTTACACGTCAAACATTGTAACACATTGTCACATATTGTCACACATTGTCACACATTGTTACACATCGACACACATTGTCACACATCGACACACATTGTCACACATTGTCACACATTGTCACACATTGTCACATTGTCACACATTGTTACACATTGTTACACATCGTCACACATTGTTGCACATTGTAACACATTGTCACATATTGTCACACATCGTCACATATTGTCACACATTGTCACACATTGTTACACATTGTCACACATTGTCACACATTGTCACACATTGCCACACATTGTTACACATTGTTACACATTGTCACACATCGACACACATTGTCACACATCGACACACATTGTCACACATTGTCACACATTGTTACATATTGTTACACATTGTCACACATCGACACACATTGTTACACATTGTTACACATTGTTACACATTGTCACACATCGACACACATTGTTACACATTGTTACACATTGTCACACATTGTTACACATGGTTACACATTGTTACACATTGTCACACATTGTTGCACATTGTAACACATTGTCACACATTGTCACACATTGTTACACATTGTTACGCATTGTCACACATTATCACACATTGTTACACATTGTTACACATTGTTACACATTGTTACACATTGTCACACATTGTCACATATTGTTACACATTGTCACACATTGTTACATATTGTCACATATTGTTACACATTGTCACACATTGTTACATATTGTCACATATTGTTACACATTGTTACACATTGTCACACATTGTTACACATTGTCACACATTGTTACACATGGTTACACATTGTTACACATTGTTACACATCGTCACACATTGTTACACATTGTCACACATCGACACACATTGTCACACATTGTTACACATTGTCACACATCGACATACATTGTCACACATTGTACACATTGTCACACATTGTCACACATTGTCACCCATTGTCACACATTTTCACACATTGTCACACATTGTCACACATTGTTACACATTGTCACACATTGTCACAAATTGTTACACATTGTTACACATTGTCACACATTGTCACACATTGTCACATATTGTTACACATTGTCACACATTGTCACACATTGTCACACATTGTTACACATTGTCACACATTGTTACACATTGTAACACATTGTCACCCATTGTCACACATTGTCACACATTGTCACACATTGTCACATATTGTTACACATTGTCACACATTGTCACACATTGTTACACAATGTTAAACATTGTTACACATTGTCACACATTGTTATTCATTGTCACACATTGATACACGTTAAATTTCGATTTAAAGCTTTCGTGACTGCAAGGATTCATCTTCTTTGGTTCTATCGGTAAAGTCACGTAGAATGAGAATAAAATATAAATTGCTAAAATAAAATACCACAATAATATTCTCACGACGTTTCGGCCACAACACAAGCGGCCTTCATCAGGTGAAGGGGACGAGGCTGTCTGGAGGACAGTGCTGGAGTGAGAAAGCCACGCTGAGATCACGACCTTTAAGCTGTGTGAGAAGAAACAAAGCGCCTTGACAAAGGAATTAGCATAGAATTTAGCATTGAAATGGCTGAGTGATTATCTTGTGACTGGTCACAGAAAAGGCTATGTTAAAGTTAAAACATACACATCCGCAAAGGCACCCCTAGACAAAGGAATTAGCATAGAATTAAGCATTGAAATAGCTAAGTTAAAGTATACACATCCGCAGAGGCACCCCTTGACAAAGGAATTAGCATAGAATTTAGCATTGAAATAGCTGAGTGATTAGCTTGTAACTGGTCACAGAAATAGCTATGTTAAAGTCAGAGCATATACATTGACCGAGGCACCTAGTACAAATCAAACAGGAGAATTTAGCATTGAAATAACTAGGCGAATTTAGCATTGAAATAACTGAGTGATTAGCTTGTGACTGGTCACAGAAATGGCTATGTTGAAGTCAGGGCCTACACATCTGAGCTATTCACAGTAACTGGGTATACAATACAATATATAATGAATACTATATAGTGAACCAATAAAAAATACTAACATAAATTACCAAGCTACCAACAATAAGTCGTTATATATCACGTAGCATTGTGATATATAACGACTTATTGTTGGTAGCTTAGCTGATTGGAGAATATAGAGTTTATTGATAACATTGAGGTAATTTATATTTTAGTATTTTTTATTGGTTCACTATATAGTATTCATTATATATTGTATTGTATACTCAGTTACTGTGAATAGCTCAGATGTGTAGGCCCTGACTTCAACATAGCCATTTCTGTGACCAGTCACAAGCTAATCACTCAGTTATTTCAATGCATAATTCGCCTAGTTATTTCAATGCTAAATTCTCCTGTTTGATTTGTACTAGGTGCCTCGGTGAATGTATATGTTCTGACTTTAACATAGCTATTTCTGTGACCAGTTACAAGCTAATCACTCAGCTCTTTCAATGCTAAATTCTATGCTAATTCCTTTGTCAAGGGGTGCCTCTGCGGATGTGTATACTTTAACTTAGCTATTTCAATGCTAAATTCTATGCTAATTCCTTTGTCAAGGGGTGCCTTTGCTGATGTGTATGCTTTAACTTTAACATAGCCTTTTCTGTGACCAGTCACAAGCTAATCACTCAGCCATTTCAATGCTAAATTATATGCTAATTCCTTTGTCAAGGCGCTTTGTTTCTTCTCACACAGCTTAAAGGTCGTGATCTGAGCGTGGCTTTCTCACTCCAGCGCTGTCCTCCAGACAGTCTCGTCCCCTTCACCTGATGAAGGCCGCTTGTGTTGTGGCCGAAACGTCGTGAGAATATTGTTGTGTTATTTTATTTGATCAATTTATTATTTTATTCTCATTCTACGTGACTTTACCGAAAGAACCAAAGAAGATTGTTACACGTTGTCAAACATTGTTACACATCGTCACACATTGTCACACATTGTCACACATTGTTACACATTGTCACACATTGTTACACATTGTTACACATTGTCACACATTGTTACACATTGTCACACATTGTTACACATTGCCACACATTGTCACACATTGTTACACATTGTTACACATTGTCACACATCGACACACATTGTCACACATTGTTACACATTGTCACACATCGACACACATTGTCACACATTGTTACACATTGTCACACATTGTTACACATTGCCACACATTGTCACACATTGTTACACATTGTTGCACATTGTTACACATTGTTACACATTGTTACACATTGTCACACATTGTTACACATTCCCACACATTGTCACACGTTGTTACAAATTGTTACACGTGGTTACACATTGTTATACATTGTTACACATTGTCACACATTGTTACACATTGGTACACATTGTCAAACATTGTTACACATTGTTACACATTGTTACACATTGTCACACATCGTCACACATTGTTACACATTGTTACACGGAGACCTAACCCCTCCCCCAACCACAAAAAAACTATTGCGAATGAGAGTGAGGTTGTCATGCATGAGAGTCAGGTTGTCATGTATGAGAGTCAGGTTGTCATGTATGAGAGTCAGGTTGTCATGTATGAGAGTCAGATTGTCATGTATGAGAGTCAGGTTGTTACACATGAGAGTCAGGTTGTCATGTATGAGAGTCAGGTTGTCATGTATGAGAGTGAGGTTGTCATGCATGAGAGTCAGTTTGTCATGTATGAGAGTCAGGTTGTCATGAATGAGAGTCTGGTTGTCCTGTATGAGAGTCATGTTGTCATGTATGAGAGTCAGGTTGTCATGCATGAGAGTCAGTTTGTCATGTATGAGAGTCAGATTGTCATGTATGAGAGTCAGGTTGTCATGTATGAGAGTCAGATTGTCATGTATGAGAGTCAGGTTGTCATGAATGAGAGTCAGATTGTCCTGTATGAGAGTCAGTTTGTCATGTATGAGAGTCAGGTTGTCCTGTACGAGAGTCAGTTTGTCATGTATGAGAGTCAGGTTGTCATGTATGAGAGTCAGTTTGTCATGTATGAGAGTCAGGTTGTCATGCATGAGAGTCAAGTTGTCATGTATGAGAGTCAGGTTGTCATGTATGAGAGTCAGGTTGTCATGAATGAGAGTCAGGTTGTCATGTATGAGAGTCAGGTTGTCATGTATGAGAGTCAGGTTGTCATGTATGAGAGTCAGGTTGTCATGAATGAGAGTCAGGTTGTCATGTATGAGAGTCAGGTTGTCATGTATGAGAGTCAGGTTGTCATGTATGAGAGTCAGTTTGTCATGTATGAGAGTCAGGTTGTCATGAATGAGAGTCAGCTTGTCATGTATGAGAGTGAGGTTGTCATGTATGAAAGTCAGGTTGTCATGCATGAGAGTCAGGCTGTCATGTATGAGGGTCAGGTTGTCATGCATGAGAGTCAGGTTGTCATGTTTGAGAGTCAGGTTGTCATGCGTGAGAGTCAGGTTGTCATGTATGAGGGTCAGGTTGTCATGTATGAGAGTCAGGTTGTCATGTATGAGAGTCTGGTTGTCGTGTATGAGAGTCAGGTTGTCATGTATGAGAGTCAGGTTGTCATGAATGAGAGTCAGGTTGTCATGCGTGAGAGTCAGATTGTCATGTATGAGAGTCAGATTGTCATGCATGAGAGTCAGTTTGTCATGCATGAGAGTCAGGTTGTCGTGTATGAGAGTCAGGTTGTCATGTATGAGAGTCAGATTGTCATGTATGAGAGTCAGGTTGTCATGCATGAGAGTCAGGTTGTCATGTATGAGAGTCAGTTTGTCATGTATGAGAGTCAGATTGTCATGTATGAGAGTCAGGTTGTCATCTATGAGAGTCAGGTTGTCATGCGTGAGAGTCAGATTGTCATGTATTAGAGTTAGATTGTCATGTATGAGAGTCAGGTTGTCATGCGTGAGAGTCAGATTGTCATGTATGAGAGTCAGGTTGTCATGTATGAGAGTCAGGTTGTCATACGTGAGAGTCAGGGTGTCATGTATGAGAGTCAGGTTGTCATGTATGAGAGTCAGGTTGTCATGTATGAGAGTCAGGTTGTCATGTGTGAGAGTCAGGTTGTCATGTATGAGAGTCAGGTTGTCATGTATGAGTGTCAGGTTGTCATGTATGAGAGTCAGATTGTCATGTGTGAGAGTCAGGTTGTCATGTATGAGAGTCAGGTTGTCATACGTGAGAGTCAGGGTGTCATGTATGAGAGTCAGGTTGTCATGTATGAGAGTCAGGTTGTCATGTATGAGAGTCAGGTTGTCATGTATGAGAGTCAGATTGTCATGTGTGAGAGTCAGGTTGTCATGTATGAGAGTCAGATTGTCATGTGTGAGAGTCAGGTTGTCATGTATGAGAGTCAGGTTGTCATGTATGAGAGTCAGGTTGTCATGTATGAGAGTCAGATTGTCATGTTTGAGAGTCAGGTTGTCATGCGTGAGAGTCAGGTTGTCATGTATGAGGGTCAGGTTGTCATGTATGAGAGTCAGGTTGTCATGTATGAGAGTCTGGTTGTCGTGTATGAGAGTCAGGTTGTCATGTATGAGAGTCAGGTTGTCATGAATGAGAGTCAGGTTGTCATGCGTGAGAGTCAGATTGTCATGTATGAGAGTCAGATTGTCATGCATGAGAGTCAGGTTGTCATGCATGAGAGTCAGGTTGTCATACATGAGAGTCAGGTTGTCATGTATGAGAGTCAGATTGTCATGTATGAGAGTCAGGTTGTCATGCATGAGAGTCAGGTTGTCATGTATGAGAGTCAGGTTGTCATGTATGAGAGTCAGATTGTCATGTATGAGAGTCAGGTTGTCATCTATGAGAGTCAGGTTGTCATGCGTGAGAGTCAGATTGTCATGTATTAGAGTTAGATTGTCATGTATGAGAGTCAGGTTGTCATGCGTGAGAGTCAGATTGTCATGTATGAGAGTCAGGTTGTCATGTATGAGAGTCAGGTTGTCATACGTGAGAGTCAGGTTGTCATGTATGAGAGTCAGGTTGTCATGTATGAGAGTCAGGTTGTCATGTATGAGAGTCAGATTGTCATGTGTGAGAGTCAGGTTGTCATGTATGAGAGTCAGGTTGTCATGTATGAGAGTCAGGTTGTCATGTATGAGAGTCAGATTGTCATGTGTGAGAGTCAGGTTGTCATGGATGAGAGTCAGGTTGTCATGTATGAGAGTCAGGTTGTCATGTATGAGAGTCAGATTGTCATGTATGAGAGTCAGGTTGTCATGTATGAGAGTCAGGTTGTCATGTATGAGAGTCAGATTGTCATGAATGAGAGTCAGATTGTCATGCGTGAGAGTCAGGTTGTCGTGAATCAACTCTGGCACACCACTGCGGATCCTGCGAGTAAGGAGCCTGCGCCAATCACTCACGGGCGACTCCAGCTCGACGCAAATTTAACAAACAAAAAAGAACACAGTGAGATCCGGCGCGGCAAACTCGACGCGATCATCATCATGGTGGCTGCTTCGCGGTTTAATGCGCCTCAGTTCGCATTCATCATGCGGCGGGTCAACCAAACGAGCTCCACGTGGTCACTCTTCACGAGCTGAGTCGCGGGAGGCGTTTGTGGCTCGCGGTGCGTTCGTCTTTTCGAAACTCTGTCGGCTCATAGAGGTGAAAGCCAGGGCCTCTGCTCCTCGTCGTCCTCCTTTATTTTCCAGCGCGCAATTGAAGGGTTTGCATCATTTGGTGCGGCGTCTTGCTGAGCCACTTGCACGGGCACCCGCGTCTCTTTGGGCCGCGCCCGGCTATTCCTCCTCTCAGATGTGGAGGTGGAAGGTGGCGGCCAACACCAGTGACGATTATCTGAACCGGTTCTGGCCCTCTTACTAGGTCGACTCAGCCTAAACTGAGTACCTGCTGCGATGTGTAGTAAACATCACCAATGGGGAGACAAAGGCGGACGGGCGTGGTGTTGACCACCCACCCCGTCGTGTGCCGCGCCGGCCTTAATAGGTGCTCGCTAACAGCACTTGCCTAACAATCTATATGGGGAATCTTTGGCTTTGTTTGTGTGCTACGGAGCGGTAGAGCAGCGGTCTGCGCACTGCGCTACGCACCCGGCCACCTGAGTTCGATCCCCGCTCATGGCCACCACCAGTTACGATTATTTGAACCGCTTCTGGGCCTCGCCTAGGTCGACTCAGCCTCAAATGAGTACCTTGGTGCGGTGCGTAAACATCGTCACGAGGGAGACGAATGCGGGTCGGGCGCGGAGCTGGCCACCCACCCCCTCGTGCGCCGTGCCGGGCCTCACTAACAGCACTTTAGTTCGAGGGCTGTCGCTCTGTGGACAGCGTCACTCCCGCTCTAGATGCGCAAACTCCAAATCGTGGTCGATGTTCGAAGTGAAGTCTGCGACCCTCAAAGGCATGGCGCCGCTCACGTGGTTGCTTCACACCCCCCCCCGCCACCCCCCCCTCCCCCCCCCCCGTGATACGTGGGATCAAACAAATAACTCGAGCCACCGGTGGATGGCAACCAAAGTGCAAGTTGTGCGAACGCAAGAGGTCACACGGCCTGGCTCAGTGGTCCTTCGCTGACTATGCGTGATGAATGAACGAATTTCCCCAACAAACTGCTACGGCTATACCGGGCGACCTTTGTCGTTTTGGGGGTGGCTGGGTGGGTGGGATGACGGTGATTTACCGCTAAGCAGCCTGAACTCGGCTGGGTCACAGGGACACATTCGATGATGCCAGCGCCAACCCCACCTCCTCCTGAGCGCCAGCTCGACTTTTAGGGCCCTCGTTTAGCGGAGGAGGAGGAAGAGGAAGAGGGCGCCAGACCGAGCTACCAGGGGCGAGAGAGAGAGAGCGACGCCGTCAAATCTATAATTGACAACAGACTCGGAGAACGAACTTACCCCCCGACCAGCTTCACACACAAGCGCTCCAACCCCCCCCCATGCCCTTCCGTAACCTCCCGACGCACCGCGGATCTAAATCCTCCCCAGAACGCCTCGCGTTGGCCCACTTTGCGCGGCACAGCAGGTGCGGGCGTGCGAAACTAACTTTCCAGGGGCGATGGAAACGCAGATAAATCTGGGCTAAAACCCGCAAAACTGCGAAATTAACCTCTGGGACGTTAAGGGGCGTTAGCGGCGTTAGCGTTAAGCGCCGGGGGGGTCTCGCTGCTCGTGCGCACGTGGCCCTGGGTCTCATCTCGCGTGGAAATTTAACTCTGGATACTGATACTCACGTCCCATCTGTGTGTCACCTGGCTGGCAATTTGCACAGCGCGATGCCCCCCTTCATTCGGGAAGTGGAAACGGTCGCTGGTGGCTGTGCCGCTGCACGTGGGGCTGCCGGTATCCCAGCGCTGTGGAGGCAGCAGCGAGGGGGTTGGTGGATCACCGCGCAAATGCCGTGACATTTTCCTCCCTCCCCGAACTCCGTGGACCTCCTAGAATGCCGGTGTGTGCTGGCAGTACAGCAAGTTGGTTAATTTTGATATTGTACGGGGGGGGGGGGTGAAGCCCCCCACCATCTCCGCCCCCCCCCCCCTCCGCCATTACATTTTTTTCTCGATCAGATATTTTGGCTGAGTTTTTGGAACTTCAGTTCATGAATCGTTTCAGTAGGAACACCGTGGGCCACACCATGATGCCATCAGTCGAGTGGACGATTGTCTTACGTCCCTGTTAGTTTACGGGCGGGTCGGATTGTGTCTCCATGAGTTAATGGGAAAGTCGGATTGTGTTTCCATTCATTCACGAGAGGGTCGGATTGTGTCTACATTCGTTCACGGGCAGGTTGGATTGTGTCTCAGTTCACAGGCGGGTGGGATTGTGTCTCCGCATTAGATCACGGGAGGGTCGGCTTGTGTCTCAGTTAATTCAAGGGCGGGTCGCATTGTTTCTCCGTTAGTTCACGGGAGAGTCGGATTGTACTTCTGTTAGTTCACGAGCAGGGCAGATTGTGCCTCCGTTAGTTCACGGGCAGGTAGGATTGTGTCTCCGTTAGTTCATGGGAGGATTGGCTTGTGGTCTCAGTTAATTCAAGGGCGGGTCGGATTATGCCTCTGTTAGTTCACAGGAGGGTCAGATTGTGTCTCAGTTAGTTCACGGGCAGGTAGAATTGTGCCTCTGTTAGTTCACGGGAGCGTCGGCTTGTATCTCAGTCAATTCACGAACGGGTCAGATTATGTCTCAGTTAGTTCACGGGTGAGTCAGATTGTGTCTCAGTTAGTTCACGAGTGGGTCGGGTTATATCTCAGTTCACGGGCGGGTCGTATTGTGCTTCTGTTAGTTCACGAGAAGGTTGGATTATGTCTCAGTTAGTTCATGGGTGGTTCGGATTGTGACTCCATTAGTTCACGGGTAGGTCTGATTGTGTCTCAGCTAGTTCACGGGCTGGTCAGATTGGGTCTCAGTTAGTTCAGTTAGTTCACGGCTGGGTCGGATTGTGTCTCAGCTAATCCACGGGCTGGTCAGATTGTGTCTGAGTTAGTTCACGGGCGAGTCCGATTTTGTCTCAGCTAGTTCACGGGCTGGTCAGATTGTGTTTGAGTTAGTTCACGGGCTGGTCAGATTGTGTCTCCGTGAGTTCACGGGCTGGTCAGATTGTGTCTGAGTTAGTTCACGGGCGAGTCCGATTGTGTCTCAGCTAGTTTACGGGCTGGTCAGATTGTGTCTCAGCTAGTTCACGGGCTGGTCAGATTGTGTCTGAGTTAGTTCACGGGTTGGTCAGATTGTGTCTGAGTTAGTTCACGGGCAGTACTCGTGAGTTATCGCCCCTGAATTAAACGAAACCAGTGGTTCTCATTATCCTGGGGTGCACGCACCCCTTGGAGGTGCGATACGCGGCCAGACCTTTTTAGAAGGTAAATCATCGAAAGGGCACGTAAGTACAACTACATTGTTTCATCAAAACATTTTCATGTTTTTAGCGATTGAGAACCAATGGGGTGCTAAGCTGTGCAGTGAAGGTTAAGAACCGCTGAACTAAATCAACGTGAGTGCTTGAGCAGGTAAACGCTGCGGACGTCGACAGCGAGTGGCTGTTCATCGCTGTCAATTAAACACTATCCGACGGTGCAAGCTTTACATATTTCATCAGCCACTTACACACCCACACAAACGCTAGTTTTAAAGGGCCGTTTGCTATGTGTTGGGACGTTGCCACCATACATCTACATTTGAATCGATTGGCGGTGACCCGGGTCACCATCGTGACCCGGGGGTGCCAAAACCTCCATAACTCCGAAACCAGAAGACCTATGAAGAAGGGAGATGTCAAACTATAACCGGCCCACCAATATTTTGCGGTGACCCGGGCTACCGTCAATCGATTCATTTGTTGGCTGAAGGCAGCTTAATCCCTTGTACGTGATTACATTACTGACGGAGTCAAATCTCGAGACAACCGAGATGCGATCGAATTAAAATCGAGTCCATAAGTGATATGCGAAACGACTGAACGCTTGTCACTGTTGTCACCACGGTGGCGAGATGTTAACTACCTCGCCTGGTATACAGGAGGTTGTGGGTTCGATCCTGACCCTGACGCCTGCTGCTGTATATTTGGAGTTTGCGTATCGTCTATCTCACCGTGGGTACCTCCGGTTTTCCCCCTCCACATATGAAATCGACATCACGTGCTCAGAGCATTTGGCTGCGATAACATTTCCACACGACGATTGGCCAATTCGCCGAGCCATCGTTTGTGAAAGCCAGGTCGCTTCTGAAATAATTTATATTTTAAAATACTTTTTTTTTTAAACACGCTTTAATGAAATGTACCGTACTAGTAAATGGCAGAACTCCACGACTCCAGGAAGTGGCCCCGAAGCTTGCCACAACGTAAGGAACCGTGGTCATTTACAGCCAACGTCAGTTGAGCGTGGACAATTAGACCCAAGCCG